AAACCCCCTGGTATTTTCTTCAGCTAAAAAAAAAAAAAAAAAAAGGATTTCAGTGCTTTTGTTTTTGTGATCTCAGTGAGGCTAACCTCTGACATCTGTTTAGTATTTTTCTAGCATGGATCCTCTCGGAGGACACGCCCACTCACTATTCTGGTTTATGATCACAGAGTTAGGTGACTATAGTCAGTGCTTGAGAAATGGAGGATTTCTTGACCATCAGGGTCCCGGAATTTACACTGGAGTTGAAAGATACCGTCCTTTCTCTGAGGACCACCTAGGAATGCACCTGGGTGTTGGGAACCAGGGAGAGTGCGTTGCGCTCTGTATTTTAGACCACAGTGGGAGTGTGTGTGCGCCCTTCTAGCAGACCCAGCTGGTTTCCAGCCTCAACTAATTGTCAGGCAAGCATGGGCTCTATCTTCTATTCTTCCAGGAGAAGCCCCTATTTTTATTCTAAATCTTTTTTTTTTTTTAGGTAAAAAGAACAAACTTACAGTTTTCTTTATTGTTTGAGTGTATCATTTTGTGAACTACTTTATTTTATATTTATTTATTTATATATAGAGGTTTTTGCTATAGGGCGTATGCGCTCAGCAGAAAGATACAGAGAGACAGAAAGTGAGAAATTACCCCCCGGGGGGATGGCCACGCTGCAGTCCCTTCTCCTCCATTCTCCTCTCGGGATCTTGGGAACGCACGCACACGCACCCGGCGTGAGTTTAAGCCACTGGGTCCAGGACTTAAACTGCGGTCAACTACATGCGATTCCAGCGACATAGCCATTATGCCAACTGCTGGCCTCTGTACTACTTTCGTAAGGAAAAGACTGGTTTAAAATTTTCACTTATCTGAAACAATCCATAATGAACATACATAATTTTAAAAAGCAAAGTGAATAATTATAATATTCTATATAATTAAATCTTTTGATTTTTAAAAATGTAAGCCCTTTATATTTTTAAAGAAAGCACTTTATGGGTCAGTATTGCAAGCACACTTGCAGCTTCTGCTGTTCAGTTGCCTATTCCCTCCCCTGCACTCCTGTAGCTGTCTCTTCCATAGGCTTTCGGGCTGTTTCAGCCAGTCCTAGCATCCGGAAAGGCTTTCTTGCTCTAGCCCAGGTCTGCTAGCCAGGTCTGCCTAGTCTTGGTCTTGGTGCATGGGTACTGGCGACCCCCATGAGGC